TTGTGACACTTTTATCAACGAAGGGGGATTCGGGACACGGACCGATGGATACTTCTGCAAAGGCCTGCTAGAACCCGGTCCAAGTTTCGAGACATGTGTAGCCAATCAACTTGCAGCTTTTATGGAATAACTGCAAGTTGATTGGCTACACATTTCTCGGAACTAGAACCTGGTTCCAGCATCGTGGACACAGGTCTTACCCCCCCCCCCCCCCACGATACACGATTCTACAGATTTACGTGAAGTAAATGGCTCATCGGCTATAAATTCGAACGATCATTTCCGAAATATGGTGCCTTCACGCAGACGTTTATAGGTCCACTATTCAGAAATATTCGACCAGTCAGGATTGTAAATGCTATATTTAAACAGCTGTATCCTCCCGTAGCGAACAAGTGCCGTATATCAAATGGCACTATCAACGGTTACGAAATATCGAGAAAACGACGCCGTCAACGTAACATTTTACTTCGGTATCCGAGCGTCTGTCCGACTCTATCGTTCTTATCGTCGTCGCGCGCGCGCGCGCGCGTCGTTCTCGCGGAGCTAGCCTTGCTCGCCTCTGGAGCGTCTTTCGCACCGTTTTTTTTTTTATCCGTCCGAGTACTCGCGCCGAAGCGCAATAGATAACGCTGCGCGAGACTACAGGTGGCATTTAGCGGGGAATTCGCGCAAGGTGCAACGTGCAAGCGGGACGGCATCTAAGCCTCGTCACGGGGACGAGGACCGATCTCGACCTACGGGAGCCCCCGGATGAGAGGTGTTAATACGCGGTCTCGGTGTGACCTACAGAAAGAAAGAGAGAAAGAGAGAGAGAGAGAGAGAGACACAGACAGAGAGAGAGAGAGAGAGAAAGAGAGTGAGAGAGAGCAGTCCATCGAAGATTACAGAGGACGTGACTCTCCGCTTCTCGCGCACGCGTCCGCGGACGGATGATCGCCTCTAAATACCTCCCTCTCCTTCGCCTCTCCCGCCCGCGGCGTCTCCCGCGTGTCTTTCGTCCGCTCTAGCCGCCGCCCCCCCCCCCCCCGAACGCCGCGGGTGCAAGCGGGACGGGATGACACGTCTTTAAGAACAATCGCCCGTTGTGAAAGCGCCTCGCCGCCGTGCCGCGCCGGTCGGCGTATCCAGCACCGCGACGTAATAAACGAGCGAGCGAGCGAGAGAGAGAGAGAGAGAGAGAGGTCGCAGGCGTTTTCTCGCCGATCGACATATCCGAGATCGGCATCGAGAGAATCGCCGCTGTCGATCGACGCGGGGATTTCGCGTCGATGCCGAGCCCCTCGCGAAGGAAAGGACCCCGCGGTGAAAAGCGATAAATAATTAACGACCACCGCACTACCGCTACTATTGGCTACCGTTCTACCCCGTGCGATACCGCTAACAGTTTACCGCCACGGTTCACGAAACTGCGCACACCGGACTCGGGGAAACACGGCGGTTTAACGTGCGTCTCTCTCTCTCTCTCTCTCTCTTTCTCTCTCCGGTGCGTCGCACAATCCGCAGATGCGGACGAGAGATTTTGCCCGTAAAACTTGACTTCCGCGACGGTCAACGGTTAAAAAAAAAAGAAAGAGAGAGAGAGACGGAACGTCGGAGAGGCGCGCGTCCGTTCGAACGCGGCGATTCGATTCTCGATTCGCGCGGCGATTTGCGATTCTCGATCGAGCGCGAGACTCGACAGCCGCGCTCGTTCGAAGCGAGCGACTCTCCCCGCGTTTCACGCGAGAAAAGAAAATAACAGTGCGGCGAGGTAACAACTTCTGCGAACGAGGGAGGTAACTCGCGCCTGGGCATCGCGCGAATCGAGCCTCGTGAAAGAAAACGCCTCGGCCGCACTCGGTAAGTTTGGAAAGTTTCGAGAGGCGATACTCTCGGGGAACGCGCTTCGAGTTGTGCCCCATCGTGAATGAACGCCGCGAGAGTCGCGCCGTACTTAAGTCCGAGGCGAGATCGAGACACGACGCTCGAGAGAGATCGCGAGTACGCCAGAAAGGCTCGCGTAGCGACGCGTAAACGAGGGGGAAGGGGGGCGGGGAGGAAAAAAAAGAGTTCCCACGTCCCCCTCGGTTAAACTCGGTCGACGCGTTCCAGGGACCAGACAGGAGAGACTCACCTCTGCGGTGAGCGCAATGTCGCATTATCCTTGATTACTGACGGTGCAGCCCCCCTCGCGACGAGGCGTAATCCAAGAATGATGGTCGCGCGTACGTACGCACACGCACGCGTAGATATATACGTAGGCGCGATGCATGTATAACGTGTGCGCGGATGGAATTGCAGGTAAGAAGTACACTAGATCATCACACAGAGCACACTGTTTTCCCTCGCGCGATCACGGGCGACCGCGCACGCTGCTGCTGCTGTCCGGTGCCTCGTTAATCGTCATCGTCCGTCGCCGGGACGACGAGCGCTGTCACTACGGCGCTCGACACTGCGACGCCGGCCGTTCATCACCTCGTTACAGGCACATTGCGGCCGCGACAGGAGGCGCGACACGACACGGCACGGCACGACACGGCGGCGAGGGCGCGCGGAATGTTGCAGGCCAGGAGGAGCGCACGGGTAAGCTCGACGACCGCGCTCCGCACGAGCCACGAGCCAACTGAAGGCGATAACCGGTCGGCGGAGTGTTCCACGCGCGTGCGACTCGAATGCGATGCGCCGTTCCCCCTCCCGCCTGCCCTGCCTGCCTGCCTGCTTGCCTGCCTGCCTGCCTGCTTGCCTGCTTGCCTGCCGTCCGTCCGTCCACCCACCCTATTACCCTCTTCTCCCTTTCGTGCGCGCTAGGAGAGAGAGAAGGGATAAGACTTCTCCGCTCCGCTCACGATATACTGGCCGTCGTCGAGTCCCCGTGGCGGCGCAACTTGGCCGCCACCGACGACGGCGACGGCGACGGCGACGACGACGACGACGACGTCCAAGACGATCGTCCGTTATCGCCGATCGCGTGGTTTTTCCGGCGGCGCGTCGCACATACGTTCCCGTTCACCTCGAGCGTCCGCTCCACCGGAACAAGTATTCAAAGCGGAGAAACGCACAACGGCCGCATGCCAGTTGCCGGCGCTCCACGCTCTTCCGCCTTCTCCTCTGCCGCTGCTGCTGCTGCTGTTGCTGCTACTCGCTGCTGCTTCTGCTCCTCCTTCTCCCTCTCGATCGCTACCGCCTCCTCCGCCGCCGCGCGCGCGCTCGCTCGCTTCGCCTCTTTCTTCCTCTCGCGCGCGTGCGAGATTCCCGTCCGCGGAAACTTTATTTATATCCACCGGCCGCGGCGGTCGCGCGCCTCAGTCTGTCACGGCGCGTAGCGTCGGCGCGGCCGCTGCCGCGTGCCTCGGATGCGAAGGGCGGGCGGGCCGCGCGACGACCGGCCGACGACGACGGTGCATCCGGTCGTCGCGGCGGCGGCGTCGATGCACGCGCCCCCGAGCGATCGCTCCCTACCGTCTCTCTCTCTCGTCTTCCTCGGCCGACGGACGCGGAAGAGCGAGGGGACGGCGGCGCGGCAGAAAAGAGGAAGGAAAAAAAAAAGAAGAGAAAGATACGGAGACGCCTGAGTCCGGCTACTCGGCTGACTGGCTACTCCGCGCCGGGTAGTAGCATTGGCCCCGCGCTAAACGGTTGAAAGTAATACCGTCTAGTGAGAGGCTGTCGGTCGCCCCGACGCGACGCGACGAGACGCGACGCGACGCGCGACGCACCCTCTCGCTCTCTCCCCCGTCTCCGTCGCGCTCGCGCGCGCGCGCGCGCCCCGCGTGTCCTTGTTCCCCGCGTCGCTCCGCTCCGTCACGATCGCGCCTCGTACATGTATCGTAAAACGTACACGTAGAAACGGAGACACACGGATGCGCGCGGCACGTATACACCGATTTCTCTCCCGCTGGGTGGGTGAACTCCTCGTCGAAGGCAGAGGTGGAGTGGACGCGGCTACGAGCGCCGCCGTGTAACGACGGGCTCCGGCGGCGCGGTGGGGGGAGCCCGGCACTCACACACGGCCGCGCGCGCACAGCGGTAAAGGGAGAGCGCGGCGACGAGGGCGCCCTCTGCCGCCATCTGGCGGTGGGGGAAGCGCGCGATCCTCGGGCGGGACGGAAGGGGGGAGGGGGACACGCTGTGCCGAACGAGGGGAGGGAGCGAGAGAGCGCGACGCGTGGTAAGGGGTGGACGAGCGCCGGCGAGAGCGGGACGGAGCGGGACGCGCAAGGGTTGGAGGATAGCGACCGAGGGGTGTCGTCGCCGTCGGTGGGGCGACGCGAGTGCGCGCGCGCGCGCGCGTGTGCGTGTGTGTGTGTGTGTGACCCGAGCTCTAGTTCCCCTCCATTCAATCCACGGCCACAATATCGGTTATAGCGAGCCACTGTTGCCAGATTGCGCGCCTCGGCGACGGCGGCGGCGGCGGTGATGGTGGTAGTGGTGCGGCGATGGTGGTGGTGGTGACGGTGCCGTGTGGGTGGAGCCACAACGATAGAGGGAAAGGTCCCTCGCCCGCCCCCCACCCCGCTCGCCGTCCTATCAACCACCGCGCCGTTGTCCTCCTCTCTCGGCCTCGTGCTAGCTGCCTCGATCCGGAGAAACCAGCGGGCGTCCGTCGCCGTCTCTGTCGGTGCCCGTCTTCCTCCCGCCGTCCGTCCTCCTTCATCCGCCGCGCCGGCTCTTTCTGCGCGCCTCACGGCGTTTCGTCCTCCGTTCTTCCGTTGTGTCGGCTGCTACCCGCGGCCTGTGTTGTCGCTACCGGGACACGGATCCCTACCCGACAACCCCCCCCCCGCCCTCCCCCGGCCGCGTGCAGCGCGGACGCTTTCTACGTGTGCCGGCGAGAACTTATGCACCGGCAGGTATGCGTGGCCTGTGTCGATACGTCTCCCGATGACACGTCGCCCGTACGGCATGTAGATGCGGGTTCGTCGTCTCGAGTACGACGGGCCTCCTCTCGCGCGCGCTCGCAGACGACACCGAGACGAGAGGGAGCGCTCGCGGTAATCTGCGTTCGGCTACCGAATCACGGCAGCGTCTTTCACCCGCTGGCTATTGTTAAATGAAAATTTCACAACTTTTGCACAGCCTTGCGCTCCCAATTTACGCGCATCGCCCCCTTTTTGTATCTAATACGGCTAGATATATTTTATCTTTACGCGCGTACACAAATGAAAGAAAAAGATACACAGAACGGCCTCGTAAAGTTCGCTGTTCTCGATGGAAAAATACAAGCGACGCGTTCGAGAGCATAGGAGGTACGTGAATGGGGAAATTATTCGGTTCGAAGAGACGAATCTTAAGCCGGTATTACATTTGTCGTACGACAAATTTTTCCAAGCGTGTTGACTGGCTGCAGGATAGAAAAGTTCTCGAGTGTCTAGAAACATCTAAAAATTTTCTAACTCGTAGTCAGTCAACGGGCTTCAAAAATTTGTCGTGCTCTCCAAATGTAATAGTACCCTTGAGCTAACTTTTCATGGGCAGCGAGCAGCAGCAGTACTTTATAGCGAATTCGGTTGCTGGCACTAGTGCGCACTGAGTGCACACTAAGGCTTGTTTATGGTCAATATTCTTATGTTCAACTTTGTCTTAAATACATTTTCAAAGAGCATTTGGCCAACAAATAATCCGTATGGATGCTACACAGATTATTTTACCGATTAAGAAATATTTCAAGAGATACATTTAAGACAATCCTTGAATATAAAAATGGATTGTAAACAAGCCTTAATGTGCGCTCAGTGCAAGCAACCGAATTCGCTATTAGTATTACGAGAGCCAATCGGGATTTAGCCTTGAGTCAACTCATCTAAAACTCTGCATCCTTATTGGTTCACGTATCGTTCACGTACAACCAATAAGGGCGCAGAGTTTTAGAGAGGGGACTCGAGGCTAAATCCTGATTGGCTCTCGTAAGTAATCCAGTAGAAAAACTAGTATTGTGTGTCGTTGGCATTACTGCGATACTTTAGTACGTCACTAAAATTTTTTGGTAAGTTTCTAAAATCTTTTTGATAATTTATTGAAATGCTGCTGCTGCTGCTTGCTGCCCGTGAAAAGCCAGCTTTACGGCAAATTGACAAAATTTTGTCAAAATTAGTTTTATTCGCAACGCACGCGGGAAAAAAGAACGTATATTCTTTTCTACGTATGTAGCTGAAACGCCTTTACGGTATACACACGTCGGACTTTCTTTTACATAACGTCATGTATATTAGCTTGACCTGGGCGACAATAATTTCTTCATTATATATTTTAGATGATCATTAAACCAAATGAAAAATTCTCAATGCAATAATACCATTGGCGCGCAAAAAGCAATTTGGCAAGGAGCATCGAGAAACATAGAGACGCTCGTGTATATCGTTCAATTGCAAAATCATTAATTTTAACCGGCATATTGGCACCACTCACGATAGACACGCGAGGCTTTTCCCGAAGCAGCCAAAACCGCGAGCGAGACAAATAGGCATTCCAGATTTATACTGTCTGACGTATAGTGAGAAAAATGTACCGCATGTACGGGCGCGCACGCACGTTCCGTTAATATATTCCCAAGGCGTCCTCTCCCCCCTCTCCTCTCTCTCTCTCTCTCTCTCTCTCTCTCTCTCTCTCTCTCTCTCTCTCTTTCTCTTTCTCTCTCTCTTTCTCTTAGCCGGTCCAGCAGACATAGATCGAGAACGTCGAAACGGGATTTCACGTTTAGGCTGCGCATGTTCCGCGCGTGCGCGTCTATTAAGCGAAGACGCTTGATTACGCTCATAAGAAACGAGCTCACGAAGCCGGTAAAATGAGACTGAGAAAAAAAATTTTTGCAACAATTGTTCGATAATTTCCTCAAGTTTTTTCTTCCGCTAGTGTTCTGATCAATCTTTAAGCTTGAGAAAAAGAGAAGAAATTCGAAATTACTCTCGTCTCTCAAACATACAAAAATTATTAAGAACATCTTGAATATTAAAATCAGATGTTTAAAATATCTTAGTTTTACACTCGCGACAACGTCTCTGACTTTTGGCTTTTATCGATCTCACAAATTGTATTTTTTATACAACGGTGTTCCATTTAACTTTCGAACAAAAATACCTTGATATCGCCGAGTTGAAAAAGAAGTTTCGGGCAAAATTTGTTTGATCCAAAGGGAAACTTAAGATGATGGCAATAATTTAATCTTGGGTAATCGTTTGTAGGTTATGTGAAGGTCATGCTCAATTTCTCAAATAAAACCCCCTCATTTTTTATCGTATCTTCTTTTCGTATTGATAAATTTTAACAACTTTTGTCTGAAACATTTTTTTTAGATATTTGAAGAAAACTAGGCAATTTTTTAAATATTTACACGGAAAGAACAATGTCGCTGCTGTAGCTAAAACTTAGCAAAATAGGGACAACTAATATTTTTAGTTGTGATAGCTCAATATTTTGCTACGACAGCAAACCGTTTGCTGTCGCACCTAATACAATAGGCACAGTAGCAAAATATTGAGCTATCACAACTAAAATATTAGCTGTCCCTATTTTGCTAAGTTTTAGCTACAGCAGCTACATTGTTTTTTCCGTGTACTTTGAGATATCTCGATAACTGTTTGTCAAAGGGGAAAAAATGGTACAGGACTTTATCACTCGATCCCAAGAATATGTTTCAATAGCGTCCCAACTTTTACAAACACGTGTACATATATACATAAAAACTCCAAGGAGATTTCAAGATCATCGACTTAAAATGGACTTTGTATTTTAATAGCAGATTCTTGAGATTAAATCAAGTAAAAAAGGCCTGTACCACTTTTCCCTCTGATAAACAATTATCGACATATCGTAAGATAAATATATTGAAAAATTTACCAAGTTTCCTTTGAATATCTTAAAAAATATAATAAGATACTAGACAAATAAACAAGATTTTTTTAAATATAATGTTGCAAAGTGTTCAAATTAATTCATACAAAAAGATGACACAATAAAAAATGGGAGTCTATTTAAGAAATTGAAGGTGACCTTCATATAATCTTTAAATGAATATCACAGCTCAAGTCAGTGGCATCATCTTATGTTTACCTTCGAAACAAATAACTTTTATTTGAAACATTTTTTACCAAAATGTTTTCGAGTAATTACTCTGTGAAAGTTAAAATGCGACACTCTGTATATGTATAAAATATATTATTTTAAATATATTGAAAAACCTACCAACTTTCCTTTGAATATCTTAAAAAATTTAATAAGATGCTAGACAAATAAAAAAGATTTTTGTTTATATAAAGTTGCAAAAGTGTTCATATTAATTCGTACAAAAAGATGATACAATAAAAATGGGAGTTTGTTTAAGAAATCGGAGGTGACCTTCATGTAACCTTCAAATGAATGTCACAGCTAAAATCAGCGGCATCATCTTATGTTTGCCTTCGAAACAAATAACTTTTATTTGAAACATTTTTTACCAAAATGTTTTCGAGTAATTGCTGTGTGAAAGTTAAAATGCGACACTCTGTGCACGTATAAAATATATTATTACAATTAAAAGAAAATTTTCATCAATAGTAGATAGATAAATAAAAGACGAAAAGAGCCGAAGCAAGTTTTTAGTGCTGACCGTTACATATTCAATTACAAACAAGAAAATTTTTAATAATTTTCACTGTCTACGTTTGCAAGTCACATTTCTATTCAAAAATTCTATTGCTTGGAAATATTGGAATTTGAGAAAGAACAGGTTTCACCCTAACTTATGTCAGGTTTAGGAGTTTCGTGCTCGTACTTTGGCCTCTGGCTTTCCTAATTTATTTTTATATATAACGAGCGTGATTTATTTATTACTCGAATAGGTTTCATATGATCCAACGTAACAGTCTGAAAAAAGATGGGCAAATATTTAGATGTAATTATTAATTATATGCCGGAAGGGAGATAATCATTTATTTCCTATGTTAACCGAAAATATTTTAAGGAAAGGAAAAACGGAACTGCGTATAGAGTTTTCATTCTTTTGTCATTTACCAGGCCTCGAGACCGTCGGAAATTTTGGACAAGAATCGTATTCAAGGTTGAACGGAAGCTCGTCGCCCCTATGTAATAGAAATTTCTTAGGTTTGACAACACTGGTTACGTTCGAGCCGCCTGTGCCTGCCGATGAATACGGGGCGCTGCTCGAAGACCTCGTTACGTGTTACGGATGTTTAGAAGGGTACGTATGCGTGTGCGAGAGTGTACGTTTCAGACAATCACGTTCATCTCTCGGGCACGAGCGTCTCTTCCAGTCTCGGCAGCCTCGGCAGGAGCGACGTTGCCTCGTCGTGGATTACAAACGTATCCATTATCCGCTTTATAAAATTAACCACCACGATGAACGAGAAAGAAAGAGGGAGAGCAACCTCGTTACGAATGTTTTAAGCGTGAATCAGTCGGTAGCCGCCGATGATATTCATAACTAGATAAAGACAGCCACTATAGAAGGGAAAAAGCGCCAGTATTCGCTATCAGCACAATCGGTCAATGAACATCGATGGAAATGTCCGAAAGAAGCCGATCAGAATCTAGCGATATCCCAGAATTCAGCGTTAGATCTCGAAACTATACCGAGAATAATAATCAGGGCGTAGACTATTGCGGGCACGTTAAGTTATTCAGTTTACGCGAATAGAAGCCGCAATTCTGTTCGCGTGAATATCCCTCGGATGAGATTCTTTAAGCGCAAGATGTTCGCTGGATAGATAAGGTCCGAATTGACCGAGAAACATACTGTCCTCGTGCAGCCGCTTTTCGTCGAAGCGCTTGCTCGGAGGTCAGAAATTTTCCATTATAAGCGACCAACGCAAACCCCTGCGATTCGAAGCACCATGCTCGACAGCGAAAGGGTCCTTATCCTCACCATCCACTTCGCACCGTCCCACGCCTAAATCCGTGCCTGCGAGTCATCTCTCTTTTTCCCTTACACCGTTACACGCAGAAGGTTCGTCCCTTCGTGTCTCTCACTCACACTTTTCTACCGGTGTGCGAGAAAGGGTGAGATAGTATAAGACGATCTCTCTCTCGCTCCCAGCTCGATCGCACGCGCGAGGTCTCACCAGAGGTGACCAGTGGCGTAACCACGGGATATCGACAGATGTCAATATCGATAACGCGGTCCTTTCGTCGCATTATTACCTGCGACCATGTATCTAATACCGTTCAAGTTTCCTGCGAGCTGTTTTTGTTTTTTTTTTTTCCACAAGATTATCGCTCCTCCGTGCACGCGATGCAGCAAGACTTTTTTCCCGCGACAGGGTGAATCCGGTAGAATCGCCGCGCACTAACTTTCTAATGAATTTTCCAAGTTGATCGGAACGCTACAGAATTAATATTCAGAATGTTTACTCCCTTCATGCCGATGCCAAATATCTACAAACCTAGAGGTAGTGATAGTGCAGGATGATAAAAGAAAGTTATCTTTGCGGTCTCCCTTCCGGATATAGACGCCAGTCTTGTTCGTACACAAGAGAAGGTTTAGCGGAACAGGAAAAAAAACAAATTTAACTTGAAAATTGTCAAATATTAAAAATTGTCTGTAGCACAGGTTCCGAAGAATCTAGGTCCAAATACAAGTGTGTCATATTCTTTTTTTAGCATTTGCCGGCCACATGTCTCTCCGTGGAATGTAACTGTCTGCACAACAATAAACCGGAAGTTGCAAGGTACGGAAGGTTTTCCTAGGACAAAAGACCGTCCGATACAAGAAATCGATGTCTCCCTACCTGAGTTTGCAAGTTCTGAAATTCCAAAATATTATAGCGATATCTTGAACTCCTTTTCTCGGAATCCGTTCTTTTTCAAATTTCGACTAACCGGTGATGTCACGTAGTACACGTCGTTCCCGAACTGTATGATCCAAGATACGCCACGTACCGCGTGTCATAAATGCCATTTAGGAGGAAACAGTAGAATTCCATTGGGCGTCGGTCAAGGTCATACGCGTCGAACGAAGGGGATCGATTAACGAAGAATTACGCGCATCCAGGGGCCGTCAGATGTTTGCAAATTGAAATATACAGTTCTTACTGCTGTAATGACGATCCTATGGCCGTGCGTATTCAACCGATCGTTTGATGCACACGAAATTACAGGATCCCGAGATGCGGTTAATCAGAATTTCTTTGATCGCAGAACGCACGCCGGAGTCCTCTTACCGGTTCCTTCAGGTAGCTGAGAGAGCGTGCGCTTCGGAAAAACAGAAGCTTGAGGAACTAGCAGAAATTAACGTATTTGTAACAATAAGTAAAACACATGCAATTATCCGAAAAATGCGCTTGTTTCGATTGTATTTTCTCAAAAAATTATCGCTCTCTTGACAGTAACAGCAAAAAGTGACATTACGGTCGCGAAAGTGCGGCAATTATGCGATAAAACTATTCGACCAAATTGCGACTAATTTGAGGTAAGATAAACGATAAGGAGGGAACGCGCGCGCTCGTCAGCGACTTTACTCGCTTGCACGTGAATTTGCTTTATCGAATAAAGATTTATGGAATGGCGACAAAGTAAACTTTTTAATGCACTTCGTAAACTTCCCCCTCGTCGTGCGCGCACGCGACGGAAGAAAATTTGTTTTGTTTAACGGTATACATTTTAAACAGGTTGAAATCGCGAATGTTTCAAAATCTCTCTCTCTTTCTCCCTCCCTCTCTCTCCTTACGAACTGATTGCTTTTTTAAGTTTACCCTTTTGTGGGAACGCCTTTTAACCGGTGGTTATATCAGCGTGATTTTTCTAAACATTCCTTGAAATTAGTGCTTAATCTTGACTAAACACTGAATCCAACACCTTCAAGCGCTGAAGCTTTGACATAGTTGGTCTGTCAGTGACACACCGATGCACACACACTACTTTATTTACCTAAGAAGACATGGTGGGACTCTTGTCTCACTTTTCAGCTCGAAGGTAGCAGTGTAGTATATAGAAGTCTCTGGCTCGAACCGAGGACCCTACCCGTTACTAATCACCCGTGTTAGCACAGAGCTACACGTCATCGCACCCTTACGAACTGAGCTCAAAATGCCACGGGTAATATAACAAATACAGCGATGTAGCATCTTTTCCTACTGACATAAATCGCGTCTCGCGATTGTTCGGCCAGCTGACTTGAACCTTCTAATGCGTTAATCGTCTCGGACTATCGAGATTGCAGATAGAGTTTCGTCATCGTGCGCTATTGCTTATGGCACGAGACCTTAAATGGTCCTTCGCTGGCGAGCAATTTGATACGCGAGGCTCGTTACACCGGTATACATTTTCCTTAGTTTTCCTGCGCCCATAAAAGAAACGCCGGTTTCTCCCGGAGACCATTTTTAGTTTATAGTAAACGCATATAAAGTAATGCCACTTTCGATCCTCGCGCGTTATATAGTATACATAGCTTGGGCTTAGAGGTGTCCAGAGCACATATACCTTCCGAATTATCTTCATAATCGCAGAGATGAGTGTAGATTACGAACGGATGCGGAGGTCATTAACTTCGCTTGTTTGTTTTGAGGGATGTGAGTATATCAAAATAAGAGGAATCTAAAAGTTCGATGTCATTATGTGACCGCATCGTTAAACTAAGAAAACAGTTCTATCGTGACTCATTGTCAGTTGTTTAAAACACGCTTCGAAAGAAACATCGAAGCAATAAGAATCTTCCTTCTCGAATCAAAATTGGCGTTTGAAGATCAACCTCTAACATTGTATTCACATCTAACAATGCGAAATACACGTTAAACCAATGGACTCGACTATGACAAGAGTCTCGCTTGCAGATTACAAGTAACATTTTATATCTCACACGTGCGTCGATCATATGCATGTTGTATTAACATTATTGACCTATCATTATAGGAAAAACTTACGCTGAAGATGACTAAGTAAAGTCGAAACGTCCGTCACTTAATCCAATTTATTTCACTAATTTTTAATTGTACAAAGAAAACTTGCGTTACTTTATACAAGAAACACGTGCGTCACTTATTACAATTTAATTATCTATCTTCAAGAATCATTCGTTATTATATACGCCTTCCATACGTCGATTTATTATTATTATTTTATTAATATTCTATTATAGGTTTTTGCGTAATTTCAGGTATTTTAACGAAATTGCACTTTAATGTTTTTATGTTTTTATTAATAATAGTTTTTTTAATTCATTTGTTAATAATGTTATTATTAATAATAGAGGAAAGTACTCTATTATGAGATAAGTTTCTAATATGAGATAGCAGGTTTTCAACACCCAAATTCAAAAACAAATCTTTTCTCGCAACGATTACACTATCTTACAATTATTTTCCACTAAACAGATTTCGCAAATTCATGGAATCAACAGACGATGCCCATTAATTTAACAGAAACCTCGCTATCTCATATTAGGAGCCTCATAACAGGGGACTTTCCTCTATTGATAATAGTTATGAAAATAATTGATAATAAATCGTGAAGATGACATTATGTCATACCTATTTTTTAATATTCCATTCGATTTTGTTGAAAAGAAGCCAAGAAATATTTGCTCAACGACGAATATGTCGTAAAATTCTATAGCATTCGCACGCTTGGTTATTGTATTCTATAAAAACGTTTTGCAGCAATTACGTAAGCATTGCCATTTGTCTACCGGCCTTATCACCTATTCACGTTCTGGCTTTTTTTAACGAGATAAAACGCGCTATAGCTTTCAAGTTGTGTGTAAGTAAAACTTAGGCGCTGTTTAAAATGTCGATTTTTCTATTTGCAAAGTCAATTTCTGGATTCTGACTTTAGTTTTGATTGTGACTTCATCTTTCCAATCTTATTTGAAGAAACACGCAGAACTCTTTATTTTTGCTTCTTTGTGTGACGAAGTGATATGTATTAAAGAACTTTCTCTTACGGTTTATCGGGACAAAGATATATTTTTAGAGATAACTTTTTACTCGCACTTCTTCAGAAACACAATAAAAATTGTTTTAATGAACCATCAATTATTAGTTACGTGAATCCTTCGATCGAATATTTTCTTACTTTCTAAGCAAAATAGAAATTACGAAGGGGGGAAAAAAAGATTTGCGTGCATATGATTTTCGTCGCTTGCACAGAACGTGCGGTTGCAAAAGCTCAGAACCGTAAATGATAGCCGACAACGTGCGCGTATTTTCCTATTGCGCTCTGATAAGCGTACTCGCATAAACGTACCTGCAAACTCAATTTGCAACAAATGTTATCGCGGCTTTATAATGCTAATCGGTCGGTCGGCACGGATCACGTGACGCCGATTTGCGCAGGTACGCAACACGTACGCGAGTCGCTTTGCCATTTCCCGATGCCGTTTCGATAGCGTCCGTGCAACATTCATAAAGATAACATTAAATGCTATTATGCGATAATTACATAACGGTCAAGGTGACAGAAATACGGACGTCGCGACTTATACGAGATTTCTTCATTTTGCCTCGCAAGATTTACACTAATGCTAAAACAAGCGAAAACTTGTGTTCTTTGCTTGACGAATTATCTCCTTTTAGCACGTAATACTTTTATAATAATTTTACAGATTAATTTTGTTCCACACACACACATATATGTATATCAATTTTAAGATATAATATAAAAAATAATAAAAGTATGACATATGTGTAAATAGTTGTATTATATTGCGATTATTGCGAGATATTCTACTTACCGTGAATGATTCTACATACATATATGTATATTACCATTAGTTGTGATCAATATTTATTTCGCCAAATGTATCCCGTACATATTATATAAACGTTGCGATATTCATACCGACAATTGGAAGAACGTTTTAAGAATGTGGTTTATCCGTGAGTGGAAGAGGAGCAAAGGTCAAAGTTATTAAAATTACCTTCGACTAAAAATACGAAGAGCCCACCGTTTTACGATTGAGCTTAACTGTCGCATATAATTGGATACGTTTATATGGTGACGTACCGCGTATCGCAACGAATTGTTTTTTGCGTCTTTACTCAATCTCACTTGACAATTTTATACGTCTTGTTGATTAGAAACGCGCGACTGACACATTACATAAATCTTGGAGGAAATAAACCGACAGACACGTGCGCGTACACCGTTTCTCCACAATTTTTTTCGTAAACAATAAATATGTTTTAAGATATGTATATAAATAATATGTAATGCATTGCCACATTTTGCATGTATTAGCATACAACTGTCATATTATTAAGTCTTCGAAGTAGCGGTTACAAGACAAACCACGAGTCGGACCCTGTCTATTTCAATAACAGGAAGTGACACTTATTTGTTTGTGGTTTAGCTAAAATAGATAAATATATTTTCGCGTGTGTCATTATCCAAGTTACAGACTAAATTAGAAAAGTATTAGGCTCTCTTTTTTAAGTACCAAGATTCTACATTAATGCATTGCACAAATGTAGATCGCTAGTGGATCGCCAGACCTGGTTGGGCCTAGAGGAAAGTCCTCTGTTACGAAATAAGCTCCTAATGTGAGATGGCAGGATTTTTCTAAATTAAAAGGCATCGTGTAGTGGTTTCATCGTGAATTTATTGCCCTTGGAATGAAATCTGTTTGGTGGAAAGCTAGATCGTGTAATCGTTGTGAATAAAGAGTTGTGATTAAATTTTGATGTTGATAACCTGCTATCTCATATTAGAAGCCTTTCTCATCATAGAGGACTTTCCTGCACTAATTGATTAAAGTTATAGAATACATGAAGTGCATATTGTATTCAATACATTCATAGTTTTAAAACTGACTGTCTAACACATTTAAATTAAATTATATAATATTAAAAAATTACTATATGTATATTTATTAACAAAACTCAGTCGAGCAAGATAGTCGGCACGTTTAATAAACCCACAAGAGAACGAATGATTTTAGTGTCTATTAAGCCCGCGGCATTGAGAAAGGTTTATGTTTCTTGGTTTTTTTCCTCTTTGAACGATTAATCCGAGTCAATTCCTTTGGATTATCGGGTACCGCAGCAGAAATACTCGCGGTTACCCGCGCCTTCCAACCTTCGAAGGACACGCACGCAAGCGCATGCCGATGCACCTTTGGGCGGCGGGAAATAGCTATGTTTCCTCGAGGTGCGGTGGTGAAGGAACAGACGCGGGTTGTCATTCGTTGTCGCCCGCCGCGATTACGACGTGTCAAAGGTCAGTGTCGGACCCATAAAAGCGAATAGCTCAAATCGTCGTCGTTCGCGAACCGTTCACGTGAACCGCGGTGGTGCTGGGTAATCGATGCCTCAACATTCAGTCTTTCAGATGTCGGGATCTTTGATTCGATACTTTACCGATCGTTATTTTCTTTTTCGGAACAATTGTCAATTT